TAGTTTACATGCCTAATACACTTGGGTTGAAAATGGGCAAGAAATTCCTGTGTAATTGATACCGCTGGTTATCAGTGATGAATTTTGCTTCCTTACATGTTGAAGTTTAAACATTAGAGAAGCACACTGAGGTAAGCATATAAAGCAGAGTTTATTTAAAAAGAGGTAACATAGACATCTCCCAGAAGGGAGAAGGGGGCCATAGCTGGTATCCTGGTATCCCAAGAAGTGAGGTGTTCTGCCTTTTTATATGTCCTAGGATTCCTTTGTTCTCCTGCCCTCTTGCTCTTATCTTTCTCCTTCCTGTATAGGTGACTAGGCATTTGATTAGGCCTAGGAAATGCTTGGTAGGATGGCTAAAAGGTGGAAAACAGGTGGGCTGAAGGGCTAGGGCAGGATGGAGCAGCCAAGGACTCATTAATTAACAACCTTACAGCTTCCTGTAGGGAGGGGCAATTCCTGGGACAGGTTACCTTAGCAACTGGTTGGAGCAGGGGGAGGTTCTTGATGAGAGTGGAAGAGCTGTGAAGGAATTAACATTTTAATCCCTCAGGGGATAGTCTCCAACTTGCTGGACTCACTCAAAAATTGGCCTCCTTGATCCTACCTGACTTGATTTACCCATCTATGCTGACTGCCTGACTAATTCTGGCTTCATAATCACCCACCAAATCACTGTGGCACTGCCAGCCCAAGAAGGGAAGGGATGGATCCAGACAGCATGGAGTTGGGGGCTAAAATCTTTGATCACATGAACTGCTATGCCAGTCCCCTAGCACATACACCATTTTCCCGTCAGTCTTCACTTACAGAATGTATAAATAAAATTATAAGAATTTCGAACAGTACCTACAGAGTATTAAGCTCCAAGTATAGGGACCTTTGAGCACCATCATCCTTGAAACCTGTAGCATATAGGTCAGAGCTCTTCAGGGAATTGTTATACTTGGGTGTTGCAAGTTACTTTCTCCTGGATACTGGCCTCTTTCAATCAATGGGTTCAGAGTCTAAAACTGGCTCAAGTCCAGACACTGAGCATGGGATCTTGATTTTTTTATTGGAGCAACTACCCTCAGCATCCTGATCTTCTATTTTTGATTTCTTTTCGTGTTACAAATGTAATAGTATGCATTTAGGGGTGGGGGTGCTGGAGGTTGAATTCAGGACCCTGAACATGCTAAGCCATGCTTTATTACTGAGCTGCATTCCCAGCCTAGAATAGTGCTCTTATTAACCGCTCTTCTGTTTTGCCTCTAGTGACAATCATATTCTATTAACTGTCTCCATAAATCTTTTGGTCTGGTGTCTTTGCCATTCTGACTTTGCTGGTAATTATGGTAACTACATTTGCTGGACTTCTAATAGTGAAGTACCATGACCTGGTCTTTGTTTCAAGAGTTCCTTCATGGCCATTGTGCTCTGTGAGTTTAGTTTTGTAGCAGTTTCTGCTATGGCGGAAAGCAACTATCAAATTTCTTAATGATGCTGGTGCCCCTTCACTAACACGTTCCTTATGGCATCTTCTCATTCTTTCCTAAGAACAGAATAATTTGATGGATTGCCTGATGAAATGTTAACTTAGTGTGGGCCATCACTTTTCCAGTTTCCAGGACCTACCCTGGAATTTTTTTTCAAAATGTTAAATCCTTTATCTCAAAAGAAAGGTTGATAATGTCTCCTATTTAGACTTACATTCTGGTCCTCATGTTCAAGCACCAGAATTCAGTCACTTGGCTATTCGTATTGGCTCCTGCCAGTACACACTGGCTAGATTTTGCAGCTCTCTGCTCACCTTATCAGGACCAGAGCATCTGGGCTGGGGTATTCTATTAAAAGACTACTAGATAGGAGGCATGATAGTTAGCTAAGAGTGACAGATCCTGAGGTGGCATTGTTTTGGGGATAAGGTGACAAGGCCTCTATTATTTTTGAGCTAGAGGAGAGTATTTGCTCTTATAGGAAGGATGGGCTGCTTTTATGGTCTCCTGGGATTAAGGGATATCTGAGCACTTGAGATTTTGGAAGGGCATTATAGTAGTCCATTTGTGTTACTATAACAAAATACCAAAGGAATTCTATATCTTTATAATGAAAAGAGGCTTATTTAGCTCAGAGTTCTAGAGATTGAAGGACAGGGTACCACCATTGTTTTGTCTCTGGTGAGGACCTCATGGTAGATGTCATCACAATGGCAGGAGCACAGGTGGAAGGAAGAAATCAAGGGTCAGGCTCAGGCTTTTATAACAACTTGCTCTTAAGAACTCAGGTGTGTGGTACATATACACAATGGAATATTACTCAGCCATATAGAAGAATGAAATTATGGCATTTGCTGGTAAATGGATGGAACTGGAGGCAATCATGCTAAGTGAAATAAGCCAACCCCCCCACCCTCACCCCCCAACCCCCCTCCAAAAAAAAAGACCAAAAAATCCCCCAAAAACCGAAAGACCAAATTTTCTCTCTGATATGCTGATGCTGTTCCATAATAGGCAGAGGTGGGGGTGGGGAGGTGTAGGTTTCCTGGATTGGAATGGGGGGAAGGGTGGGGGAATGGGAATGGGAAAGGCAGAAAGAATTGAACATAACTTTCCTATGTTCATGTATGATTACATGACCAGTGTAGCTCCACATCATGTACAACCACAAGAATGGGAAGTTATACTCCATGTGTATATGATTATGTCAAAATACATTCTACTGTATGTATAACTAAAAAGAACAAATTTAAAAATAAAATAATAAAAAATGTAAAATTTAAAAAAAAAATCAGATTCATTTCTGTTCTAATTTATCTGAAGTTTTGACAGATCATTTCATCTACTAAAATATATTTTTTCTTTTAATTTGTTAATACTACTATATTTATGGATCTTTAATGGATTTATGGATTTTCAAATGTCAGATCATTCCTATGCTTTGGCAACAAACAAATAGTGGTCACAATGATTGTTATATGTATATGGTTATATTTTGCTATTTTGTGTAGAATATTGCACTTATGTTCATGCCTATAATTTTTCTTTCTCACACTACCCTTGAATAAATTGGGTAGTACTTCCTTTCTTCTACTTTTGGGGGGGAACCAACCAAACAAGGAGTCCACTAGAGCTACTCTAATCCCTTTGGAGGGCAGTTCCCCTAGTGGCCTTAAAGACCTGCTACTGGGTTCTACTCTTAAAGATTCCACACCATTTTTCAGCAACATCATCCTGGGATCAAGTTTCCAGGACATGAACCTTTAAGGGACAAACCACATGGAAACCAGTGCATTAACTAAGGTGTCTTTTTATCCTCTGTATCAGTGTCTGATTCTTTCCCATTCAGATCCCTTACATGGGTATAACATCTCTCTCTTGACTATGAATTAATCTTTGGAGCCCTGCTTCTCTTATGATTAATTCCTAGGCCTGGTCTTCTGCTTTTCTGCCCTGCTGCAAAAGAAAAGAGCCTCTCTGCAAGTTACAAGTATGCCTTGAGTCTTTTATATTTGACATTCTTTATTTATTTATTTATTTATTTTTTAACATTTATTTTTTAGTTGTAGTTGGACACAATGCCTTTATTTTGTTTACTTATTTTTATGTGGTGCTGAGAATCGAACCCAGGGCTTTGCACATGCTAGGCGAGCACTCTACCGCTGAGCCACAACCCCAGCCCCAATATTTGACATTCTTTAAAAAAATTTTTTTTGTAGTTCTAGATGAACAGAATGCCTTTATTTTGTTTATTTTTATGTGATGCCAAGGATCAAACCTAGTGCCTCACATGTGCTAAGGCAAACACTCTGCCTCTGAGCTACATCCCTAGTCATTTTTTTTTTGTTTTTGTTTGTTTTGAGAGAGTTCTGCCCTCTCAGCTTCTGGAGTTGCTGGGATTATAGATGTCTGCCAGGCACGCACGCAGGCACGCACATGACTGGCTTCCTTTTTTAGCTTTCAGTAGAGTGTTAATCACTCTTACCCTTTTGTTATCTTTTCCTAATTGAGTTTAGCAATTATAGTCTTTCAGTTCCATTGTCATTATAGTTACTGTTTTCTTCTTATCTTCAAGCACCCTGATACATCTAATCAAGTAGTGTGGTTTCTTCCACCGACAGACAACCACTGTTCACCACTGGTGACAGTTTAAGAATTGGACCAGCACCTGGGTCAGGAAAAAAAAAAAAAAACCAAACTGTTCTATCTTTGACCAGTGATGGGTCCTCATTGCCATCTAGTCTTCTAGTGATTCAACTCCAAAACCCAAAAATGGACCTTTAATGGATTTATGGATTTTCAAATGTCAAATTATTCCTATGCTTTGGCAACAAGCAAATAGTGGTTATAATGATTGTTATATGTTTTCTCCAGTCATTACTGGTACCAACTGGAGTTTAGTATTCTAATTGTTTATTGGGGAATGCCCTTTGGGGTCAAAATCTTGGGTAGGATAAGGAGCTAGATTGGGCATATTTGTCCCTTGTCTCGATTGGACATGAAGCAGGTTGAATGTCTATCTATATATAGTCAACTTTTCTTTCAAAACATTTTTTTTGTTTTGTTTTCATATTAGTGGTCTAAACTTACTGAACCTTCTTTTATCATTCTTTTTTTTTTTTAACTTCCACATTCTTTAGGTAAAACTAATTCCCTCCTTCAAAGATGTCTTTCATGTCCTTTTTTAGGTGTTTGTGTTTTTGTTTTACATTTAAAAAATTGCCCTTTTCCTTGTATTCTTGTAAATGCAAGTCAGGGATTTGAAAGGGAATTTATATGAGGAAACTGAGAATGATACAGTTTTAAAATAAAAATTTAGCTTTAAATGTTTATCTGTTGTACTATTATCTGTATCTCAACCTCCTTTAAATCTTGCAATTAGCAATATTTTTGTTTAATAAGTTGTACATTTCTCTGATGTTCCAGTGTTAAGCTATAATCAGTATTACTGAATTTGGCTTATTTTTTAAAAACCATAAATGACAATGATACAGTTTATGTTTTACCTTTCTCTCATTTTAGAAACTATACCCCACCTTCCTAAACTGGCTAATAGTGGCATGGAAGACCCATTTGGTGAGTATCACCCGCATTTTTCTTAGTAAATTATATTTGTGCTTGATCTCATTTCCATTAAAGCTTTGAGAATGAATTAATTTTTTCATGTTTAGTATGCTTCTCTCTTTTTTCTTTTTTAACACTAGAGATTGAACCTAGAGGTGCTCTACCACTGAGCTATATCCTCAGCCCGTTTTTATTTTATTTTAAGACAAGATCTTGCTAAATTGCCCAGGCTGTCCTCTGCTTCCTTAGTTGCTGGATTATAGGTGTGTGTGTTGCCTGGCTTCAGTATGCTTCTCTCTAGAATAGTGATTCTCAAAACTTTTTCTCACAGGATCTACTTATACTCTTAAAGATAATTGAGGAACTCAACAAGCTTTTGATTGTATGATTTTTATCTATTAATTTTTTAAATTCTTTTTTAGATATTTTTTCTAGTTGTTGATGAACCTTTATTTTATTTATTTGTATGTGGTGCTGAGAATCGAACCCAGTGCCTCACATATGCTAGGCAAGTGCTCTACTACTGAGCTACAACCCAAGCCTGCTGAGATATTTTTAAATTATTAATGCATCTAAAAATAACATTAATGGGGCTGGGGTTGTTGCTCAGCAGTAGAGTGTTTGCCTAGCACGTGCGAGGCACTGAGTTCAATGCTAAGTACCACACAAAAATGAATAAGTAAAATAAAGGTGTTGTGTCCAACTACAACTAAAAAAAATATTTAAAAAAATAGCATTAATAGATCCATGTAGGTTACATAAATGAGACTTTTAATTAAAAAGAACTCCAAAAATAAGCCCAACAAGAATGGCAGTAATAAATGCAAAGTTTTCTATTTTTTTAAAAATATTTTTTAGTTGTTAATGAACCTTTATTTTATTCATTTATTCATATGTGAAGCTGAGGATCGAACTCAGGGCCTCACACATGCTAGGCAAGCTCTCTACCACCAAGCTACAACCCCAGCCCAAAGTTTTCTATCTTGATCGTACATTAACTTATGTATACTTTATTTGGGATGGAAATTTAATTCTGCTAATACTTCAGAAACAAGTGCACTTTGTAGTGTTTCATTATTACTTAGTCAAGGAACGGTAATATGAAAGTGATGATAATAGCAAAGATGTTTTGCCTGTATGTAGTATTTCATATAGCAACGTGAGTAGGAGAATCTAAATCTAGGTACACAAAGGTTTTTTTGTTTGTTTGTTTTTGGTACCAGGGAGTGAACCCAGGGGAATTTAATCTGAGCCACATCCCCATCCTTTTTTTTTTGGGGGGGGGGTAGTTTACTGGGGATTGAACTCAAGGGCACTTGACCACTGAGCCACATCCCCAGCCCTATTTTGTATTTTATTTAGAGACGGGTCTTAATGAGTTACTTAATGCTTTGCTTTTGTTGAAGCTGGCTTTGAACTTGCGATCCTCCTGCCTCAGCCTCCTAAGCTGTTGGGATTACAGGCATGTGCCACTGTGCCTATCTACACAAAGGTTTAAATCTGCCTTTTCTACTAAAAAGTCAGTTACTATGTAAACCTTGTTTTCCTGTTATTGCAAAATGAGAAATTCATTCTAGAATATCAGATTTTTTAAATCATATTATAACCTAGGAAGACTAGTTTGGAAGTACTTTACATTTATAAATATGCATCAGCCAAAAAAAAAAAAAAGGAATCAGTTTAGTTTAACCTTAGCATGCTTTGAGGAAGTATATGATACAAGCATTTTCTCACTCATCATCACATGGAAAAAAAAAGTCCTTTTTTGTGCCAGTGCAATTTGAGGATGTATTCTTAAAATGATAGTAAGTTTATGTTCTTCTCTTGCCCCATTATCACTGATGAGTAAGGTAAGATTTTTGGACTACCGATACTAGTAATCAGATAGCTCAGATTAAATAGTTTTGTTTTTTTAAAGAGAGAGAGAGAGAGAGAATTTTAATATTTATTTTTCAGTTTTCGGCGGACACAACATCTTTGTTTGTATGTGGTGCTGAGGATCGAACCCGGGCCACACGCATGCCAGGCTAGCGCGCTACCACTTGAGCCACATCCCCAGCCCAGATTAAATAGTTTTTAACTAGGTTTGAGAAGACTTCTGTTGAAAACCTTGCAAAGAGCAGAATTTCTCTGATATTCATGACCCTAGATGACTGCTTTAGGATGGATTGTTGACTTTTTAGTAATATCAAGTTCATCAATGAGATCTTTAGTTTGAACACTAGAGGGCAGTCAGTATTTTGTTAACAAATTTGTAGTTTAATACCAAATTAATTCCTGAGAGGATTATTTATGAAGAATAATAAATTGAGTTTATTTTAGTAGTCTAGTGACAGATTCTAAAGAACTGGAGTGTTGCATGAAAATGCTAAAGATTTTTTTTTTTCATTTTTACTGACCTTCTTGCCTTACCCTATAAGTACATGTTAAATATCCTTAATCTGAAATCCAAAATGCTCCAAAGTCTGAAATCTTTTAAACACCAACATGATAATACAAGTGGAAATTTCCACCTGACCTCATAAGATGGATTATAGTCAAAATGCAAACATACTAAAAATACTGTAAAAAATGACCCTTTAGTGGGCTGTGGCTATGGCTCAGTGGTAGAATACTTGCCTTGCATGGTGAGGCACACTGGGTTCAATCCTCAGCACCACACAAAAACAAACAAACAAATAAATAAATAGTCTATCTACAACTAAAAAAAAATTTTTTTAATTACCCTGTGGCTCTGTGTATAAGAAACAAATGAATTTCATGTTTAGACTTATATCTTAACATAAGATATCATTCTGTATATGCAAATATCCCAAAATCTGAAAAAAAAAAAAAAAATGAAAGCCAAAATGCTTTGGATTCAAAGCATTTTTTTAAAATTATGTTTTTAGCTGTAAATGAACACAATACTTTTATTTATTTGTTTATTTATTTTAGGTGGTGCTAAGGATCAAACCCAATGCCTCACACATGCTATTGCAAGCACTCTACCATTGAGCCATACCCCCAGCCCCCTTGATTTTGTTTTTGATTCAATTCCAGGGTTGAACCTCTGAGCACTTTGCCACTAAGCTACATTTCCCCAGTCCTTTTAATTTTTTTTTTTAATATTTTATTGTGAGACAGGGTAATGCTAAGTTGTAGAGGCTGGCCTCGAACTTGCCATCATTTGCCTTAGCCTTCCAAGTTACTGCATGATCCCAAGCATTTTGAAGGATACTCAATCTGTGTAACCTAATTTTTTTTATTTTTTATTTTTTAGTTTTCGGCAGACACAACATCTCTGTTTGTATGTGGTGCTGAGGATCGAACCCGGGCCGCAAGCATGCCAGGCGAGCGTGCTACCGCTTGAGCCACATCCCCAGCCCATAATTTTTTAAAAAATTATTTTTTAGTTGTATTTGGACACAATACCTTTATTTTATTTATTTTTATGTGGTGCTGAGGATCAAACCAAGAGCCTCACAGGTGCTAGGCAAGCTCTCTACCTCTAAGTCACAACCACAGCCCCTGTATAACCTAATTTTTAATATGATTTAATTAGTTAAATATTAGGCTATTTTAATTCAACTGAAATTAAATGTAACTTACATTTATTGAGAGTATTAAAGTGAGAGGTGCTATGGAAGTTATGGTTGGCTGAGTCATCAATTGAAATATAAAGTGAAATAAGTGAAATGTACTTTTATTGTTTTTTGGGGGGACTGGGAATTGAACCCAGGGCCTTGGGTATACTAAACAAGCACTGTATCACTGAGCTATACCTCTCAACCTGATATGTGCTTTTGATTGTTTGCTAATATAGGCAAAAATTTGGGTATTATGCTAATGGAAAGATTTTCCCTCTTGCACCTATTTAACTCTAAGAATTTTTAAATTAACATTTCCATTCCTGATGTGGATTTTATAGGAAAATAGAAATGACTCAATAGTTTTAACAACCCTACTCCTTCTCTGTCTGTACTCTTCCTTTTAAATGTTAAACTGATATTTTTTTTAGTTGTTTATAAAACATACCTATGGTAAGAATTTGGTATACTTGATGCTATTTGATAAAGAATCGAATTCTGAATGTAAAATGAGTTTATTTTTAAGAAGTCCAAGTCTCTATAAGATGGAGTGAGAATTTTGTTACAATCAGGATAGCTAAAGATTATGTAAACATATAAAGAAAGAATTATTTGTAATATTCTGAAAATAAAAATAGTAAAAAAATTTTACCTATCAAATTCCAGTGGGACAGACATAAACACGCGCTTATTTATTTCATTCAAAAATATTTAAAAATCACATTTGTTAATACCACTGTTGTTCTCATCAAAAAAGTCTTTGAATATTGGGAAGGTAAACTCACTCTGGATGTAAAATTTCCAACATTCAGGTTTTTATTTGAAAGTTTGAATTACATGTATCACTGGGAACAAATAAGGTCAGTTTTCTTTGTTAGTGACAGGCTTACTTTGAAAAAATGTGCAATGTCTATGTGAATAACAGTTTGTCATTTATTCTTTCAAGTAAAAATGGTATTTCATGAAGAAAACTGACTAATTCAGTTTGCAACTTGATCACACAAGTACCTTCTTAGAGATAACCAGCATGCACAAATATACAAGTGTGCTTTATACATACTCCTTATTTCATCACACATAATAATAAGACATGTATAGAAAGGTTGAGATTTATTAAATCTAACACTTTTGCAGGGCATAGTGGCGCATGCCTGTGATCCCAGCGCCTAGGGAGGCTGAGACAGGAGGATCACAAATTCACACCCAGCCTCAGTAACATCGAGGTGCTAAGCAACTCAGTGAGACTCTGACTCTAAATAAAATACAAAATAGGGTTGGGGATATGGTTCAGTAGTTGAGTGCCTCTGAGTTCAATCCCTGGTACCCCCCACAAAACAAACAAACAAACAAAGAAAAAAAAACTAACACTTTTTATGGCTTCATCAAGGACATTCTTAAGATTAGCTATAGTTTTAACTGTAATTGAATAGAGGGGAAAAATAT